TGCTCAAATTCAAGATTTATGCGGATTTTAATATCTTCTGTTAGTCTTTGGCTCATATTTTGAGAACAGGTCGAGCAGTAAAGCGTGAGTTTCTATTGCAACATAGAGCGTTAAAAGGTAAACTTTTCTATATAAAACATCAATTTAGAAATTTTTCTAGTTTTGACTCAAATTGCTGATATTCAAGATTTATCCGCATTTTAAACTTCGCTCTTAGTCTTTGGCTCATATTTTGAGAACGTGTTGAGCAGTAAAGCTCTAGTTTCTATTGCAACATGGAGCTTTAAATGTGCACTTTTCTATATAAAACATCAATTTAGGAATCGGTCTAGTTTTGACGCAAATTGCTTAAATTCAAGGTTTATCCGAATTTTAAAATTCGCTCTTAGTCTTTGGCTCATATTTTGAGAACCAGTTGAGCAGTACAGCGCTAGTTTCTAATGCAACATAGAGCTTTCAAATGTACACTTTTCTATACAAAACATCAATTTAGGAATATTTCTGCTTTTCACGCAAAGTTGCAAAAATTCAAGAAGATGCGGATTTCAAGAGCCGCTCTTCGTCTTTATTACGACTGCCTGATTGAATCATTTTTAGGCTCAAACTGCTTTGGATTTCGCTTGTGATATTGTTCAAAATCCTTTCAATATTGCAACGAAGAAAATCCTAACGGATTAAAGATACAATTTTACATTCCGCATGCATGGATATCTACATATTCAAAAATTGTCATAAATCTATACACTCGAGACTGGCTCAATTAGTATGGAAGAATCGTGTAGGTCAAGCCCACAAGCATGCCAAGGCAATAGAATATGTCAGAAGAATTGCAAAATAGGAACATTGACTTTCATGACATATAACGACTAAACACCTGAATCCACATGAACGGGGGGGAAAATCAGCAAAGACAGCTTTATTGACTTCAACGCTTAATATAAAAATCCAAAGACGCTTTGTCAGTTCCCCCATAGCTTTTGAGGATGCTTGCCATAGTTGCAAGTGAAACGTCGAGAAGAATTTAACGCATTGCATAAACAGGCAATCTTGGCCTAGCAAGTAAAAGTACAAAATCAGCTCTAATAAGTGCATCATTAATACAATTAGCAATGGCCATTTACGTGAAATATGAAGATTCCGGAAGTATCCAAGTGCCTAATAGGTTCCTTTCTATTTGGTCGTACGGTAGCTAAATAATTAACACTTATATGCATTAAGAATGCTTGCGGCTGCCAATTGCAAGAAATGTAATCGATTTGCAACATTTTAGCGTAATCTGCGTCTTAGATTCTACAGGGTGATGGGAATTTGGAGGAAAAACATGTTAAACTTTCTATAGAACAGATGTTTGAAAGCGTATGCATGAAGCATAGAAAATACCACGGTATTTCCACTAAAGCTTGCTTGGGCAAAAACAGCAATTACATTCAGCTAATTGCCTGCTTACAAAGTATTATACCTCCAATTTAACGGGTCATTATTGATTAGTTGGCCAATAAACAACTAGTCGCCAATAGATGGGAGAATAATTAAAATCGATTGCAAGATTTATGCCCAAATAAAAAGTCAGAACCAAATAAAAATTAGTTGCGGTGAGTAAAGCGCTTAATATTACATAAGGAAATATTTCGCGGTATGCACTAAACAGATATAACTAATTATGTTAACGATGTCATATCAATTAACTGCAAAAACGTGTTTTTTTTTGTTCTATTTTCAACACTAATTTTGTTGCAATATTCAAGCGCTTGCTCGCTTTTTATAGACAAAGTTCACATTTTTCTTACCTTAATATGCCTATCAATCAACCAGTTCAGTTCGATATCGTCATCGTCTTCGCCAAACGGATTAATCAGAACTTCGGCCACCTTGAGCCATCCAATGTAGAAGCAAAACTGCAAGAGAAAACTCGAGTAGAGCAAGTTTTATTAATATTCCAGTCCGTTTACCTGCAGAGCGGTGAAAAACGGGAAATACATATCGGGTTCCTCGAGCTTTCCCCGCATATCTCCCGGGGCAAACGGCACGAATTGCCTCCCCAATAAAGCCGCTATAAAGTAGACATAGAGCGCCAAAGATACCACCTGTAAAATTAATTTAAATTCAAATTGAAGGTGAGCACGATCAGCAGATGCCGATGATGATCCGGAAATGATCATCTTTGATGGCTTGATGGCTGAAGTCCGAATCAAATTAGTTAACTTTCCAGCTTACGCAGTCAATTCTGAAATTCTGCATTGAAACCGCAGGTTTTCTTGTTAGTCATCAACGCAAAATAATTAAAACTAATAATTTAAACCGCAAGCTCAATTTCTCCAGCTTTTGTTCGCCTCCATTACTTTTATTGTTAAAATTTTCCGCCTCCAGTTTCAAGAACCTGAACGAACGCCCTCACAAAAGCAGATTCAAGAAACAATTAAACAAAAGCTAATTGTTGGCGATAGTTGCACTGGTTTTGTCTCGTCGCTTGTCACTTAAGTGGCCAGTTTTTTTGCAATGTGTGCGGTGAACGTCGACTCAAGGCGAACTTCTGAATAAGAATCCATCAAAGTTTGCTAAACATGGCCGGATACACTTTACTGAACTAAATTGCAATATTGCGATCGATCACGAGCATCAATCCACTTAAGAAAACATAAATTTATAGTCACTATTGTTTATTTCTGTAATTTGAAACCCTGTACCTCGAAAACTACTAACTTTCGGATAAGACAGGTTGGCCTCAAATCGTAATATTTTTTCCTAAACAACATGTCAGCGAATTTTGTCACATTCGTTTAGGACCACTCTGTATAGTTTATATTATAAGGTCCAACCTGCGTTGGATTAATGTCTTACAAAGATTTCTACAAAATTGTCCATATTAAATCGAAGGTTTTACAATTATGCCATCTTGGATTATGCCAAAATAGAAATTTTAATAAAAATAATTTAAGCGTATGCAAGGAAAACCAAAACGCGAATTTCTCAGCGAATCAAAAAGCATCTGAAATTCCACAAGAGAATATCTAATATTGCCTGCGCTTTTATCGGCATGGTTTTGCCGTGATGCCATTTGGATTAGAAAATGGTACAGACAGAGAGAGAGATGCTCGATCATATTGCGTCTTCACTTTGTCACATGGGAAAAGGTGCAGGTCATTAAAGCAAACCCGCGACGATAAATTACCTACCAATTGTTCATTGTTTCTGATGAATAAAATTAAGTAAAATATTTCGTCTAACACTTAACTGACAGTAAAAAATGTTAGTCTATGGCCCACTTAAAAATGTGAATTTACGACAACATTAAAAATCCAATTTGAGTTAATTCAAAAAATCAACCGAAGTTTCAATGTGAAACATCTCGGAAACGGTAAGACCTGAACCTGAATTTTTTAACTTTTGTCGCATTAGTTGAAGACTACCGTGTAGATGAATGAAAACTTGTATTTTTGAGACTTTCGAGCCGCCCTGGAAAATAATTTCTTCCTGGCGGCCTAAAACCACGAAAAACTCTCCGGTTTCAAGCACCATTTGGGCTGAACCAAAAATTAAAAAACTGACTATCCAGATGAGTAAATAATTGCTGTTTAAATCCCGCCTACATGATTCAAAACTATTTCACAAATAACTCAAACTTTTACCGGCAACTGTTTACAGAACTGGTTTAATCAAGATGCATTCTTCCGCAATCCTTTTCCAAAGGTGAACCAGTTGCATGTATCATTAAAATCATTCCTGATTAGACTGGCGTTTACTCACTCACTAATGACGATAATCGCAAAAGCCTTGTACCAGAGCACTTTTGAAAATTACCTGGGTATAGACGAGAGGGACAGAAACAGTGTCGTAACCAATCAGAGCGCCCAATCTGCGCCGAATGTCCGATAATTCGGTCAAAATCGTCTGCACTATATGATCGCTCGTTGTTAGTTCCTCTTTTCTTGCTCTGTTGATCAGATTCGCCGCCCATACCAGGGGCATCCAATACTTGGACATTGGCGTTTTTTGATCCATTAACTCGAAAATTTTCTTCTCACTCTCCATCATAATGCCTACAAAACATCACTCTGTATATACCAAAGCATTCCAACAAAAGACACTAACACCCTGTACATGTCTGTTATAAAAAGATGGCGATCAAATGACGCAAAACTAATTAACACAACAGCAATTAATTTGTTACTGGAAAAATTCCGAAGTTACTCGATTTCAGGCAATTTTTTTCGTAAACTATTGTTCATCAACATAAACAAAAAGCGATTGGATTTTAATGATTATTGACCTGACCAGGAACCAGGCTTAAATCGTCCAAAGTCATAAACAAAGCTGATTGGTGACGTGACGCGTTTCAAATCATCGAATCAACCAGAACCAAAACTGTTATAAGCCATGCTTTTACTTTTACATAATTTCGCGACATTATAGGAATTAAATTTGAAAAATTGCAGAGTGAATATTAATGGACTGCGTGGAGGTTACAGCGGCAACTTGTCAGGAATTGCATAGAATAAACAATAACCCAATGACCTTTGCACGAAAACAATTGGGCAATGTTCGAATGGTGATAAACAAGTAATTAAAAAGCAAACTTACTCACCACTGTCGACTAGATGTTGCCATGTAGGAAACCGTTTCTTAACCCTTAGAGAGACCCTCATCAGGGTCACTACGTAAGCTAATACTGCATACCTAACTATGTTTCTTCTCATCAGTCTTTGCCTCTCACCCTGGAATGATTAACATTGTTTTTTGTTGAAAATTTAGCAAGATTGACCACGCAGTGACTAAATGCTTTGAGCCGAGGCGCGCCCAATAGATGCAGTAATCAAAAAATTAAGACTTTGCTGCTTTGAAATCGTTTTTCCAGATAAAGAGTTTTTCGTGCATCTTTCTAGAGGTGACAAAATCAATTCCTCGAAACCTCAAAGTAGATGATTTGTTTAAATGAGAAATTGGCTCCAGATTGAAGCATGTTCTAATTTCACAGTCACGTTTAATGGTTGCCTCGTTCAACAAATTTCCCCATTTATCACGTTTAATTGTCAGTTTTAGATAATTTAGTATTTTTTCAAAAAGCCAATACGCAAATCTAAACTATACAAAGTGTTACTTAGCCGCGGGTCGAAAGTAAAACTTCGCATGTAAACCCAGTATACCAGACAAGAAATACATGCCAAAGTATATTACATAAGTAAATTGCAACTGATCAGGACAAAGTTGTAGGCGATCTAGATGCACATCACGATTAGCAACTTAAAACAGTAACCTCGATAACTTGGAACTGTTGAAACGAGGCTGGTCGAAGCGGATTTGCTACTTGGGCTACATGATGCACAAATGCATTATTTTGATTGAAAATGGTATGAAAGCAATGGAAAAAATACGTACTTACCGCGCCAGGGATACCAGCATTAAGGAATAGGGCCAAAGTGTCCGGCCATGGTAGAAGTTTGTATTGTTCCCACCATCGTTTCACCACGAGGGATACGTAAAACCCAAGAACAAAAGACATGGGAATGGTCTCACTTTGTTGTCCAAAGTACATTCGTATTCGTTCGAAGATCCTGGAAAAAGTTAATGTTTTGGTAAGCACATCAGTTAGTGAATAGGGGCGTCATCATGAGGTAAGCGTGGGCTGGCCAGGATGAAAACTTCAAGTTGCTATTTCCTCTATACTAGAACTTGGAAAGGTTTATAAGAACGCGCGCAGTTGAGTACAAACTTTCGTTTTGGGATCGGAAGTTAACAAGGTGTGGAAATCAAATTTTTGTGTTTTTGCAAAGCAATTTTCACCGTTATCAGACTCAAGTACTTTCTACAGACGGATGTCTCAAATTGTCTTAAAGTATATTCTTATCCTTCCTGGGACAAAGTCAATTTTCTCAAATTTTACATCATTTTCAGCTCACGGACGTAAGGAATGCATCGAACTCATTGAAAAACATGCTAGAAGTTTAGGATCCGAAACAATAGACATCTTAGGCACATTTTACCCGTTTTTTGAGCGTTCACGATCTTTAGCCGACGATTTCTTTCTTATTATCGACCCAAACACTTTGTAAATGTATATTTGCGACCTTCTTACGTCGAAAGGAATCGATTGAGATCAAAAAACACGTCGGTCACGAGGTCGATTTTTTGAAAAAATGAAAATTTTCTGAAAATGTCTTAAATTTTACATCATTTGCAGCTCACGGACGCGAGAAATAAATCAAACTAATTGAAAAACATCCTAAATGTTTCAGATCCGAAACAATAGACATTTTCGGCATATTTTAAGCTTTTTTTTGAGCGTTCACGATCTTTAGCCGACGATATCTTCCTTATTATTAGCCCAAACACTTTATAAAGGCATATTTGTTACTTTCTTTCGTCGAAAGGAATCGATTGCGCTAAAAAAACAGGCATGTGAAATTTTGACCGAAATTTTTCAAAGGGTGGGGGTCGACTTTTTGAAAAAATGAAAATTTTCCCCAAATATCTTTAATTTTACATCATTTCAGCTCACGGACACGAGAACTCATCAAACTCATTGAAAAACATGCTAGAAGTTTCAGATCCGAAACAATAGACATTTTCGGCACATTTTAAGCGTTCACGGTCTTTAGCCGACGATTTTTTCCTTATTATTGACCCAAACACTTTATAAATGCATATGTGTGACCTTCTTACGTCGAAAGGAATCGATTGAGCTCAAAAAACACGCATGTAAAATTTTGATTTTTGACCGAAAATTTTCCAAGGGTGGGGGTCAATTTTTTGAAAAAATTGAATTTTTTTCTAAATGTCTTAAATTGAAAATTTAGTTGGATTGAATTTTAATTAATTGAAAAACTTAAAAACTTTTATAGCTGTTTTTCCACAAGAAAATCGATCTTAAATCCACAAAGAAGACATTGAAAACATTTGTCTTGAAAAATCGTCTTTTCGACCTTCAAACTCTTACGACGTTCAAGATTCTCCACTGATTTCAAGTTTGCAAAATACGACTTTTAGACCAAACCACTCGTTATAGAACGAATTTTCAATGATCCAAATCGGGCCCGTATTAAGAGAGTTACTAATTTATTCACACTGAAGGGTGGCTCGATTTTTTGAAAAAATTAAAATTTACTCGAAATGTTTTAAATTTGTGAGGAAACGTTCATTAGTAGGCCAAAGTTTATAATTTTCTGGGCCAAACCCTGGAGTTGATGCTTTTTAAATAAAACATTGAGTGTCATCGGAAATGATGAACACACTGGATTTTCATCAATGGTAAGAGTTTCAAGTTAAAAGGAACGAATCTTTCAAATAAAAACTTGCAGTTGCTCGAAAACAGAAACTTCTAAATCAAGAGACTTCCATATATTTCTAAAGTATCTAGTTGGTACTTGCTCAACATTGAAACAAACATACCATTAGCCTTTAACGCATTTCCCTGACGCATTTCATTAAACTCTTAGCGCTTAAAGCTCACTTATAGCGCGACCTTTAAAAAGACCGCTCCCTCGAAACGAAAAAAACACTAAATTTCCATTAAAACCGGAATTGAACCACTTAGTATTTGAAAGTGTTTCAGGTCAATCTAAGTCCGCAAAGCATCCGATCAATCCGAACCCAACAACCAAAATTTGATAAATTACGCCGCAGTTTTTATTCATATTATTATACAAATCGGAATTGGTTGCATTGTTCGCTGAAATGTAAATTGTTTTACAATCGACGCCAGAGCAATGATGTAACATCATTCTAGTGTCTTAATTGCGGTGTTAAAAAGTGCAAATTCAGAGAGGAAATGGTTGATTTTATATGAGACGTAAAGTGAAAAACGCAGCCAAAAAAATGGACATTGGAAAACTTGTAGTTTCACCTTGAGCGATCGTATTAATGGGTTTTTTCCCGAATGAAGTCCACAGTTTATTACGTCAGTAGCTACATGTTCCCATTGGTCGACTTATTTGGATCATCGTCACTTTAACCGAAGCTCGAGTCGATTTGTAGGAATTTTAGAAAAAACCCAAAATTGTGTTTTAGAATGCTTTAGAAGTATTGAATAATAATCGTACCTCTGCTGCTGCTCGTTCAACCCATAGCGATATAGTAAATTAATTGAATAATATACACATAAGTAGGCGACCAGTTCCCTCCACACCAGCTTGTACACACTTCCTCTCCATCTGGAACAAAATAAAACATTGGAATTTTAGACTTTGGAAATTAAAGTTTTTCATAACTGAGGCTTATTTAATTGCCAAGACAATTTCGAAGAAAGCTTCATATATAATTGTTAATATGCATGACACACGCCATTCGTTCAATGAATTACAAGGCATCAAACACATGTTCGTTCTTAGTACCTATCGGTATATCAATGAAAATTCCTCCGTGTCTTCACAGCGATGCCAATAACACCTTTTTTATAATCGGCCTGTCTGCTTTGAATGTTACTGGTCATAAAAAATTACACAGTTACTCAGTCCAAAGGTTCAGCATCAGCAAATGTGCCAAAAGTAAACCATTAACAAACCCACACATAAAATACATTAGAAATGCCTCAAACGCCTACCGAGGATGCTCGGGGATGAGGAAAGGGTTTTCTTCTGCAACCAAGCAGAAAACAGTTAACTGGCGCAGTCGGTAGGATCAACAAACAGATGATTTAAGCAGGACCTAAATCAAATAAATGGCTTTTCACGAGCCTTCCTAAGGGAATCGGATACATTCCAGCCGGATAACGGTGCAACATTCGGCCGGGGTAAACGCACTAAATTAAAATTTAATTAGTTTGCGACTAGCCAGCCACTAGACAGTTTATTAGTCGGCTTGTCACATAGTGGTGCTATCCATTTTCTAAAGAAACCGTAAAGGACATGTCAGTATTTCACTTTCACCTCAATATCCATCTAAATTCCATCCGAAAGGTCGGTTTTACGTAATTAGTATGTACGGAAAGCAGAAAAGGCGCATTGGGAAAACGGATCAAACGCCTGCCACATTTAAAGCAATAAAATTAAGGCTTTGCACGAAAAATGGGAAAACCTTTCAAGCAATTTGCATTTCTTTTCTAAACGAGCTGGAGATCATCGAGATTAGGCACCAATAGATGCGAGCAATTTTGTCTGGGAATTTTTCGGCCTCGAGACGATCATTCGAAACTTTCAAATCACTTCTTGTAGGCATAATTGATCAAAGCTGTCCAGAAGAAATTGAATTTGGAACTTGTTTTATCTTCGTATTTGATCTGCATCACTGTAACCTTTCAAGGTTGTACAAGCAACTAGCTTTTGTTAGAGGGGTCATAAAACGGTCATCAACCCGACTATTTACCGTACATAAGTGAATTCCTACATATTTTAATGTACGCACATACATTTCCCTATTTAGATGCGTTTAAATGATTCAAGGTGGTTATTGGCAGAAGAATAACATTTGAACCTTCAGCCTGTTGATGGAAAGGCGCGCCAAACCGATGCAGCAAAATATCAGTGATCACTACGCGCTAGTGAAAAGAAATCGACCGCAAATATCCCAAAAATAATGATTAGGTACTTGAGTTGTGGCTATTTTTATATTCCAGCAAGTATAACTTTTAATCAAGAATAGTCTTCCAATCGGCACCAAAAAGCTCGTCAATCTAGTTGCAAAGCCTTGAATATCAAAAACAAGCGATTGTCCAATAGGAATTAAATTCAACACAAAGCAAATTTGCATAAATTCATAAGCAAACGGAAAATTAATCATGCTTATTTTTACCACTTTATCAGCCGCAGAAAAAGTGCTGTTGATTCACCTAAAAATAGGTTTCCAAAGTGCGAAGCTCCAAAACTTACAAGTCGGGGAATCGAGAAGTTGAATATTCAAAGAATTGTTTCCAAACCATGCCAAGGTTTTAATTTTTCAGTTGCATTTTGCAACAGACACAATAAGAATGTTTATGGAAATGATTAACGTTCAAAGAATATGAATTGCAGGTGGGATAAACTTACTTCTAGGAATATTATAAAATAGTATCAAGTTGTTCGAAGAACAACGAAACTTTCACCAGCATTGAGCCTGAAAACAACACTCTCGAAATTTTGTTACAAGTCTATCAAAGCCCCAACATGTTTCGAGTCTATAGGCTACTCATCATCAGGCTCCAACTCCTGAAGCGTTTGGGAGCGAAAGTTAAGCAGTTGTTAAAAATCAGGTTTTTGTGTGCTTTTAATGCAACTGTGTCCTACGGATTGGGAAAATGTCAAGTTGCTACCCGTTGTAGATTAGAATCTAGACAGTTTTATAGCAAAGCGCGGAATCGAGTACATTTTTTATTTTGGGATCGGAAGTGACACAGTGAAAAATCAGGTTTTTCTGCGATTTATATGAGTTTTCACCCGTTTTGAGGCACTAGTCTGCTACACATTCGCACCTTTTCAAGTTGCTGCTTGTTTTAAGTCTGAATCTAATTTTTTTTTAACAAAGCGCCCAATTTGATAAATTATTTGTTTTGGGATCGGAAGTCACAAAATTGGGAAGATCCGGTTTCGGTGAGATTTTAATGAAACTTTCGGAACTTTTAGATCCATGTGTCTCCTACAAACAGGCAAATTCAACTGGCTGCTGGTTGATAATTAAAATCTAGACATTTTTTAACAAAGCGCGCAATTTGATAAATTATGCATTTTGGATCAGGTTACAAAATTGGTAAAAAAAAACAGGTTTTACTGCGATTTTAATGAAACTTTCAGCGCTTTCACAGTTACCTGTCTTCCACAAACTGGTAAATTTTCAAGTTGCTACTTGTTGTAGATTAGAGTCTAGACGTTTTTATATCAGACCGCGCAATTGGGTTAAAATTTTAATTTTGCGATCAGAAGTTAAAAAGTTGTTAAAAATCAGGTTTCATACCGATTTTTATGAAACTTTCAACGCTTTCAAAGCCACGTGTTTGCCACAAGTAGGCAAATTTTCAAGTTGCTGCTTGTTGTAGATTAGAGTCTAGACATTTTTATATCAGATCTCGCAATTGGATAAAAACTTTAATTTTGGAATCAGGCGTTCCAAAGTTAGTAAAAATCATAATTTGACGATAATTCAATTAAATTTCTACCGTTGATATATCCAAGTATTTTCTATCGAACGTGAAACTTTCAAGTTGCTACTTGTTCTAATGTTGGAGATACAATTTTTTGAAGCATTGAGTGCAGACGAGTCAAAATGCTTATTTTCATACCAACGTTTGTACATTTATCAAAAATCGGCATTCGGAGAGATTTAAATAAAACTTCCAGAAATCGCGGATTAGACTCTTGTTCATAGATTGCGAAAGTATCAAGTCGTTATTTGCTTTGAATTGGAAGCTACGAATTTTTGAAGTAAAGGGTGCAGATGTGTGAAAATCTTCACTTTTAGGTCAACCTTTACAAAATTGTCCAAAAACCTGGATTTTGTGCGATTAATTTGAAATTTGTAGTAAAATGAGGCGCAAATATTTGCCATTGACTATGAAAGTTTCAAGTTGGTGCCTGCTCCAGGTTGGAAGTTACGTTTTTTAAAAAAAGAGTGTAGTTGCAGGAAAATGCTGAAAAAATTATAGTTTATACACTCAAAACGTGGTGGCCCTCTGACGGCCTTTTAATAAATATTCAGGGTTTTATTTTTATACTCAACTCAGCTAATGAAAGCTAATAAACTGAAAACCAGTCCTGCTCCCGAGATTTATCCTTTTTACAGCAAAATGTAACTTCCTTCATATTTAAAACAGCTAACTAGCAAGATTTTACCCCAAAAAATGCCTCTATCCACCTTTTCATTCAGATGCTCGCCAATATAAAAATTGTAAGTTGCATTGCACCCCCGTAGCACAACCTTCGAATTGCTACTTAGGCAAGACAGAGCAAAACATAGCGGTTGGCATGGAAACCCACCTGGCCTTGTCGCACTTTGGCATAATACCAGAGCCGATTGATAACTACGCCTACAAGCTACATATAATACAGAGGCGCATTTACCAGTTTTACTGCCAATTTTTTTTCGATACTGGGTGACCCCAAAAAAACAATTTAACATATTTATGCGTACTCCCTCTTCAACTGAAGCATGATGAGTTTTGGTCAAACCGTGCTCTACAAAGGTTCTGCTAGATCGGAAAAAAAGCGACCGCAAATTGAATGTCGACTATTTGATGTGCAACAATATTCGACCACAAAGCTTTGGCAAACGAATAAAAACAATATTTTTTCCTATTCGATATGGCAGCCAATGAAACTGAAATCTTGCGTCGGTGACTCGGCTGTTTGCAATCGTCAGCAATTAATGCGGATCGGAAAAACGTTAAGCCATACAGCATGTGATTTAAAACGTTGCCCAGTTGCAAAATCGTGAAACTGCACAATAAAAATATAAATTTTTATTATTGATAGTTAAAATGGTATTGTGCATTACTAATGCCTGCATTATTTATGGTTGGCGGTCTTATCGTTGTGATTTTCGAAACTGTCGTTAACGGAAAATTCTAGAGTTTGTAGTTTACGTTGTGGTGGCAATTAGGAAATCAGGCTCAATTTCAACAAGTCATCAACGATTATTGTTAGATTATCAAGTTTGATGTTTTACTAACATTAACACACGCCAAGTTGTTTGATTCATGTTCAGCTTAGGCTTGAAGCGGCCGAGCTTTCTATTTCTAAAAATTCTATTCGCAGAAAATATCTGCATGAGATGGTGTACCGAACAGCAAACCGAACCGAAATTAATATTTAATGGTCGGCAATAAATATATATATTGGCCGACCCAAATAGGAAGTGTGGCAATAATTTCACTATGCAAAAGAGGAAGTGAAGGTTATAAACGTTATTATATTGTACAATAATTAACTGGGCAAAATATGGAATAAAGAATTAAGTGGTCTCATTAGCTTCAATATAGTTTGCACGCTGTTCAACTGGACGTTTGCATTTGTTGTTAAATAATCTTTTAATATCTGATGCATTAATTCAACATTAGGATAATGGGGAATTGTATACAATGACTAATGTTTTGAAATTTATTTTTTTGCTGGATTTTCTCTCAACTTATTTACTTTAAAACTTAGTGGTGACTAGAATGATTTCTATTAATTAGCGCACTCAAATTTCGCAATTAGTGCTTCTTTTGCAATCGTTTAATTAGTCGCTAGGTTAAGAAAACCCAAAACCACACGCAGATAAAACAGGGTATATAATTCGCTTCCGCTCAGGCTATATGAGTTTTAAATTATATTTTTTATCGGAAATTCTTCATTGCCTGATATGATAAATATCAAGGCTTGGCGGTGCTTTGATTTCGTTAATTAGCTCGACTATAATAATTAGATACATTCTTATATATGACAGGCGTATATTTTCAGGCCTGAACTCAATTTAGTTATTTCCATGCAGGTCACATTAACTGTACATTAAATACCTTTGCTGGGGCATGAGCTAATTGAATTACTTTGTAGCCACTTGCTCTAAGCAAAAATTATTTTTGCTGGCGTTTCGCAAGCACGAGGGGCTTACATCTTCAGACGTGTGCCTGCACACCTGGGGAATATTGTTAGTTAAACAAACCCAAACCACCGGTTTCAGCTGCAATCTATTGTAGTGAACCGATAAGCGAAAATACTGCACAATTCCAACAATGTGAATTTACTTAGTTTACATTTAATTATGCCGGAACTGCTAACACATCATTCGGAATATCTGCATTTCATGTTAAGTTAATTTTCCTAATTCCCTGGCATTGTTTAACGAGATAATTACCGGCATGTTTCCTTTCAAGTTTTTGCTAGATAAACAGCCAATTATATTTGCATTTGAATTTATCTCCAGCAGACATCGCTGAATAATCAGCGTTTAGACCTCTGGGCATCAAGCGCGTGAGTATTGAAGGCACCCCGTAGCAAAGCCAGCCGGTGCCCTACGGAGTGGCTGGCTGGGCAAGAGAAAGATCACATAGCGGTCGCCAAGGAAACCACCCCGTCCTTGTCGCACTTCCCCGGTATACCAGACTCGGTCGGTTAGTACTATTAAAAATCCCCAAGTTCATTTGAAAACGGTAACGACACATTTTGTCCTTGAGTTCTAACAAGGCCCCGCATGAAAAAAACACTTTGTTTAGTAATCGTAATACCATAATCGATCCAATAGCCAATGCACCTAAAAAAAATACGTGGTGTTCTTGAACTTGATTAGATCTGAATTAGCTGGTCGAAGAAAATGAAAGTAAAACTGATCAGTCGCAATCGGTTGCCCTTCAATAACTTTCGCGTGCCAGCTTTTGTAATAATTACGTTTCATTAAAGCAACAATTCGAAAACGATTGAAACGATTTTACTAGGAAATAAGATACGTTTGAGGTAATTTGGTTAGGTAAGCAAAAATGCCATCGAACATCTAGGTAAGACGTTCCTGGAAACATTAATAGAAGTTTATGGTAAAAGGGAAATAAAATTTTATGCATGCGACCCTTTTGCTTATCCACGTCAGCAGATCGAGGCTAAAACGTACGCGATTTCTCGATTCGGCGTCTTTCATCATTACCTTCTTTATGTTAACAATTTTTCTCTTCATTTCTCCTCAAAGCGTTTAAATTGCTTATGGCCAGATCTTTTATTGTTGTTGCGTCAACTTTTTCAGGATCTTCCACAATGTTTGGCATTTTACTTTACTTACTTTTGTTTGCTTCAATTGGGTGAAAGTATTTAGAGCGATTAAAACAAGACGCCCTTTGCCCTTTGTCCTGCCTTTGGACACCCTGTATATCCACTGTCTAATGCTCATTTAAAAAATGCAAACCTCAATGAGAAACACGAAATTTTGGAAAAGTAGTGGGCATTTCACCTTTCAACTGCCGATATCTCTAAAACCGGTCGTTTATGAGGTTCCGACCAAGTACACTTTTTTGGTCTAAATTAATGAGGGAACAAACGGAGTGAGTCAACATTCCAACATACACGATGCGAAAAAAATTAGAGGCATTTGAAATCTCTAACAAGCGGCGCCCTATGAACAGTTACTATTTAAATCAGTCTGGGAAATATCGCCGAAATGCGCATTTGCAATTGAACAGTCTGTATATGTTGTGTTTAAATTCAAAATTTGTTTCCGTTGTTAAAGTCGGAAATATCAAAATATCCTGTTTTTGAAAATACCGCAAATTTCAACACAATATACAGCGTGAGTGAACATCAGCATACAAATTAATTGGTCATAGTATTAATTGATTGGTCACAAGTCACAAGTGAAAATTTTTATTGAGTGGATCGAATAGTAAAATACCAAGCAAATGAAACCTGCTTGCTGACGAAACATTAGAAGCAGGTTTATAATTGCTGCGAATTTACCTTTGGAACCATATTTGTTACTATTCCTTGAACTTATTGCCACTGTTATCGCCCATTGGTTCTAAATGTTACTAGAGCCGACCTTTTCAAGCAATATTTATAATAATATTAAGTATCCCACACGATGGGGGCGAGAAAGCAACAAGACGTAAATGGGGACGCTTACATTCCTAGAACCCTCCAAAAACATCCGAAAGTACTGCCGTTGGGTACCAAGCCTCCATAGGACACGGTCATATTATATCACCAACTTTGGACCAATTTTCAGTCCTAATTGATTTCACTATGGCACTAACCTACTTCACACTATTTCGCTTCTTCACATTCACAGTAACGGCCGCGCATCGAGGTCTTAAGCCGTTGGTACCTCGACAAGTAATCGGTGGGTACTAAACTAAATCGACTCGAACAGAAAAATTAACAATCACCAGTTCAGGTGTGTTAGGCGGCCGTACCTAGTGGGGAAGAACGCTTATTGTTGCATTTCTTTGTTGTACGAACGCTTGATCCGATGGGGATGGGTGTGGAATTTACAGGAAATTGAACCGATGCATTTTCCCATACTAAACTATCACCATATGGGCTGCTAATCGTGTCCTTGCTGATTTGTTTGATCAACTTGCAGCCGCAATCGTCATATTTTTACGGGGAATTATTCTTGGGAAAAGTCCAAGTACAGCATCTTAAATAGGAGGTATTGACTAGCAAAGCAAACAATAAACATTGACTGGTGAGCTTTTCGACCGTTCGGCCGTCCGGGAAAATAATATTCTGCTGAAGTCGCCAAGCAGACCGCCTCTGCAGATGCCAGCCAATCGTGTAAGGGAAACGTCGGGAAAAAACACTTCCCGGCACCAGTTTCAAACGGGAGAGGGTTTAAAAAGCACCACCACATCTTTCCAACTCGCTTTCTTTAACTCAAAAAAATCTCCAACCAAATACGAATTTGTTTTGGAATGTTCTCCAATTTTTCAACATGGGAAGTATAATTGTTTGAGTCTCCATCTTGAACACCAAACGGATAAATACATATTCCTCGACCTTCTCATCCACTGAATACGTTCTAATTAAACAAAATACATACATTAATTTGCCATTTAACAATAGGCTAATATTAGCAGAATGCCACCCTTCATGGTCGGAAGAATGCGTATGTTTAATTAAGTTTTAAATATGCGACTTTCATTGAGAGTTTCGAGTAGATGCAAGGTAACTTTATTCTTCTGATATCTTCCAAAGTTATGCAGGTAATTGAAGGCACTCAATAATGCAAATTTAATTGAAATTAGTCACTAGAATCCCGCATGAGCACCAAAGGGGTTTTTAAAAGGGTTCACTCGATTTCGTTAACAGAAAATAAGCTTTTTTAATTCGCGTTTCCTGCACTAAACTGCAGGGTTTTGAACGGCTGCGTTTCCTGACAATTCCTTGAAAGTAAGCGTCTTTGCTAAACAGTCAGTGGAGCGGAAGAAAAATAGTCGCCAACCATTAAGAACACCACAATTTCCGTTTCAGAAAATCAGCAATTTTTCACTCAAAATGGGAAAAATGCTGCAATTTTTCGAAAATTTACTTCACTTTTCAGCCAACATTTAATGCACGAAATAATGGACGTCTAGTCTCTTTAAAAAAATAAATAGCTGTTGTTCACCACAAGAATTGTTGTTAAATTGATAAAAAAAAAGTCCTTAAGTATTCAAGGATGGATCAAACACATCTATTTCCGAGCCTCTAAGGGACCAAAGTTGAGGGAGTGTGCACTCAAACAGTTTTTTGCCGCGATTGGGAAGTCCTCAGGAGGACATTCAACAATTTCCTCAACCCCTGTTCCAAAAAATTTATAATTCTTTGCAGAAAATATGAAAAATATACCTAGTTACAAATGCACAAATACGAGCCAACGAACTGGTTCTAAAGAATTGCATTGATCTTGAATTTGCGCATTTTGCGTGAAAACTAGAAACATTTCTAGAACGATATTTGGTACAAAATAGTACGCAATTTAACGCTCTAACTCATAGTGAAAACTCATAGAGCTTTGTAGCTAAACTGTTTCTCTAAATACGAGCCAACCAACAAGAGCGGTTTCAAAGATTCACATTAATATTGAATTTTCGCATTTTGCGTGAAAACTAGACATTTCTAGAACGCTGTTTGGTATAAAAAAATTGGCAATTTAACTCTCCATCTGGCAAGGAAAACTAGAGCGTTGTAACTCAACCGGTTTTCCATATTGCGGATTTTACATGAAAACTAGAAACATTTCTAGAACGATGTTTGGTACAAAATAGTACGCAATTTACCGCTCTAACTCATAGTGAAAACATCTTTGTAGCTAGCAAACTCATACAGCTTTGTAGCTAAACTGGTTCTCTAAATACGAGCCAACGATCAAGAGCGGTTCTAAAGACTCACATTAATCTTGAATTTGCGCTTTTTGCATGAAAAATGAAATATTCCTAGAACAATGTTTGATATAAAAAACTAAGCAATTTAACGCTTAATCTCGCAACGAAAACTAGAACTTTGTGGTTCAAACGGTTCCCGAAGTTTTAGCCAAATACTAATAGCGGCTTCAAACAAAAACTTACACTTTTTGGACAAGATTTAATGCGGAACATAAAAAAARTAAGTCTCCAAAKCTGCATCAAATGCTTCTATTTCCAAGCCTCTAAGGGAAGAAAGCTGAAGAAATGTGCACTCGCCATTTCTAAGGTTGTTTGCTAATTTTCGCGWGCTCAAATTTCTGTTCTCAATGTCCTTTGCCSCGATGTCCTMAAAAAATACCACAGAACTGCAAAGAAAACCTTCCGATTTCGRAAAATCGTCAATTTTCCCKYGTGAGCGAGTGAGATTTATGAAAATACAGCAGAATTCAAATCATTTATTGATTGAATAATSGACAAACTCTATCATTGGATTTCAAAACTTAATTCCGCTGGCAGTTTCGACCATTTTCGCAGCAGAAAACTTCATGTAGCATCGCTCTTCTTCAGCCAAATGCGGGTCGATGATGCTAGTGATGCCATTGCGCCCCAAAGTGCACGGCATGGACAGGAACACCTCATGCTCAATGCCGCACATTCCCTAAAAAAATCCGATTTTCCGATTTTTTCGTCGCCAAACCAACTGGCTACCTTAATGTAAGTGGACACGGGCAGAATCTTGTTGGAATTTCGCAGGATGCTCTTTGTGATGCTGGCAACACTGAGTCCAATGGCCCAATTGGTGAAGCCTTTCAGTTTGATCACTTCATAGGCGGCATCCACCACCTGTTTATGGATGGATTTCCAGTTTTCTGGATCGTTGTCGGTGCCGATGGCTGGATTCAGCTCCTTCAATCGAACGCCTCCTACATTGACGCCAGACCACACAGCCACTAGTTGGGACGGAATCAAATATAAAGGTATCTAATAGTAGGGAAATGGGCGGATCTATTGCCTACCGCTGGAATCGCCGTGTTCGCCCAGGATCCACCCATGAACACTTTCGGGAGCCACACCCAGCCTTTGAGAAATGAACAATCGGAACCTCGAAGAGTCGAGATTGGTGCCAGACCCCAGCACTCGATGTTTGGGCAGTCCGCTCAATTTCCATGTTACGTAAGTCAAAATATCGGCCGGATTACTGACGACTATCAGAATGGTGTCGGGGGAATATTTCACAAGGTTCGGAACGATCGCCTTGAGAACGTCCGTGTTTCTTTGGACCAGGTCCAGACGAGATTCTCCTTCCTTCTGCCTCACGCCTTAAAAGCCCCCCAAAAACATGTACGGTAAGACTATGAAGGTATTCACGGCTGGTTATATCACATTTAGGAATGTTTTCCGGGCTTTGAAGCCGTGGTTTATGGGAATTTTTGTTCAGAGGTTGCACTCGTTG